TTTCCTGAAAGTAGAAAACCCATGAACACAAAGTCACAATTCATAAAGCATCAAAGAACTCGCAAAATAGATAAACCTCATGTATGCAGTGAATGTGGGAAAGCCTTCATCAACAACTATCGCCTCATTGTTCATCAGAGAGTTCACACGGGTGAGAAACCTTATGGTTGCAATGTTTGTGGGAAAGCCTTTGCCAGGAAGTCCAAGCTCACTGAACATCAGAAAACTTATGTAAGAAAGAAACGTTACACGTGCACTGAATGTGACAAAGGCTTCTGCAAGAAATCACAGCTGATTAGTCACCAGAAAACTCATACAGGTGAGAAGCCGTATGTATGTAATGAATGTGGAAAAGGCTTCGTCAAGAGGTCTCAGCTCATTAACCACCAGAGAGTTCATACAGGAGAGAAACCTTATGGATGCAGTACGTGTGAGAAAGCCTTCGCCACAAAGCGCAGACTCATTGTACATCAGAGGACTCACACAGGAGAGAAACCCTACGAATGTGCAGTATGTGACAAGGCCTTCCACTGTAAATCACAGCTCTGTGCCCATCAGAAAACTCATACTGGAGAGAAACCGTACATATGCAGTGATTGTGGGAAGGGCTTCATCAAGAAGGACAAACTCATTGTACATCAGCGAACTCATACTGGAGAGAAGCCTTATATATGCAATGAGTGTGGAAAAGGCTTCATTCAGAAGTGCAGCCTTCTTATACATCAGCGAACTCATACTGGAGAGAAACCCTATGTGTGCAATGATTGTGGGAAACGCTTCAGCCAGAAGACATGCCTCATAGCTCATCAGAGATTTCACACGGGAAAGACTCCCTTTGTTTGCACTGAGTGTGGGAAATCCTATTCATACAAGGCAGATCTCATCAGCCATCAGAGAATCCACACAGGTGAGAAGCCCTACTTATGCAGTGACTGTGGGATAGCTTTTAGAGATAAGTCATACCTCAGAAGGCATCGGAGAACTCACACTGGAGAGAGACCTTATGGATGCACTGACTGTGGAAAAGCTTTCTCCTACTTGTCAAGCTTTGTTCATCACAAACAGATACTGCATGCAAGAGAGAAACATGGTTCAGTCAAGGTGGAGAATTCTTTCTCAAAGACTCATACCTCCTCATGTACACGTGATCTCATTCAGGTGAGAAACCCTGTTAGTACAACAACCGGGCAGATGGCTTCTATAGTAACTCAGACATCAGTAAACACCAGTGGGCTCCTAGCAGATAGGAATGCAGCCCTTGTGGGACAGCCAGTTGCCAGATGGGCATCTATAGCAGATACTACTGTGTCACAGGAGAGAAACCTTGTAAATGCAGTGACTTTGGTGGTACCTTTAGTGATCAGTTACATCACATTTTATGTCATAACAAACACACGGGAATAAACTGTGATATATCGAAAGTGGAAAAGCCTTGAGTAAAACCTAGCTCAGATGTGGTTCCTAAATGAATACTGAGAGAAATTGTGTGAATCGTAGACTGGCAAAGCTCAGAAATAAGACTTGAAGAGGTAGTAGAGACATGCATGGGAGAGAGACTCTTGGAAGGTCATCAGTGTGGCAGGGTTGTCCGTGGTTCATGCTGCTTCATCAGTTGTCAGAAGAAGTTACAGAGAAATTAAATTTTGAGAACATTTACTGGAACATCTTAAGCAAAATATCAGAGCACTCTTGAGGGAGAGAAGTGCTGTGAAAATAATGAATGTTTGAGCCAATTTTGTCACAAGTTTAACCTCATTATACATCAGATTATACACATGATAGTCAATTTGGAAGCGTGCACGTTGAATCAATCTCCTAGATACTCTGTCAGTGACTGTAATTCAAAGGAGGTAGCCTGGGTTTCACATCACCGCATAGTTTTAAAATATAAAATGATCCCTTGTAGCCCCTTTTTTGCATGAGTCTTCTTTGCCTACTATGGTATGATGGATTGCTTTTTTATTGGCTTTTTGTCCATGGTCTTCTAACGCCCACCAAATGATTGGGAGGGACTATGCAAATAAGCTGCCTGTGGCCCACCAAGGGAATTGGGCAGCTTTCTAATAGTGTAGGTAAGGTGTGTGGCACCTTTGTGGGGGGTGAGACCTTGGGAAAAAAGTGTATGTAACACTAACAAAGGCATTGGTCAGTGTTGCCATTCTATTGTGCTTAAAACGTGATACAATCTCAGCGCATGGGCCACCTCATGGCGGCCAAGAAGAGATGGGCAAGATGCATCATTTGGACCCAGGGAACCTCGATGGAGAACCTTCTAGACCCAAGATACAGAGAAAGTTTTAACACTAGAGATGGCAGAACATGGCAGGAAGCAGTGGCAGAGTTTGCAGTACCAGAACCTGGAGCTGTGTGGTAGGTTTCCTAGTCCACAAAGCAAGGTGTTTACAGTGGGTGTGCTGATTCATGGAGTGGGAGAGCTAAGCACCTTCAGGTAGGAGGCTTCCTAATAGAGTGGGGTGACTCTAGGCAGTT